CGCTATAGTCGTCGCGGTCTTACGCTTCTTAGAAGCGTTATTAGCTGTTAGCTTAGATACCGGCCGCTTATTATTATTATTATTATTATTATTAGTCTTTTTAGGAGGTATAATAGCGGCGGAGGAGGCTATATAAGATAGTTAGCGAAGTTATATAAGTTATTTTCCCCTAGGACGGAGAGATATTAAAAGGATACTTATAAGATAATAGGGAAAAATTAGGAAAATTAAGGAGCTATAACACGTTAATAACTATTAAGCCCTACCCCTATAAAGAAAACACTATAAGGGTTAACTTACGGAACACGGCAGATATTAATAAAAATCGAAAATCGGAGGCGTAAAGAAAAAGGAAAACGGAAGAGAATAGAGTTATAGAGGCGTTAAGGAAGATATCCTCCTTAAGGGGCACGTGGTTACCGTTCCTGCCTATAAAGAAGGTATAAGGGTAAAAGGGGTATAAGAGGAAGGAGATAAATTTCTATTTTTAGATATATTATATAACGGCGCCGGCTCTTTATTTAGATTAAAGGGATATCGACGCCGGTTCTTTATTTAGATTAAAGGGATATCGACGCCGGTTCTTTATACGGATTAAAGGGAGGCCGACGCTAGCTATAGTATAGGAGCGAGGGATTAAGAACAGGACTATTATAGGACTATAACAGGTTAGTGTGCGGGATTAAGGATAGAAGGACTATAGGAATAGAGTAAGGGATTAAGGATAGGACCACGATAGGACTACCACGGGGCCGTATATAGGATTAATAATAAAAGGATAGTGGGAAGATAGGCCGACGCCGGGTATAGTCGGGAAAAGTGGCCCTATCCGGTACCGGCCGCTCCTAAGGATAGGAGCACTCCGGGAGAGGTCGCCCTATTAGGTGCCCCTGCCTAGGAGATAGAGGCCGGATACACGATAGGACCACGACGGGTTCCTGTATAGATAAGACCGGGCGCCCGGCTTAATATAGCCACGGCTACCCTAGGCCGATACTACTATATAGGGCTATAGCCTAGGCTTAGGCGTAGATATCTGTTTACGATATCCGTTTAACTACCCTAGTGTTAGCCTAAGAGTATATAATGCTTATATAATACCCCCTCCTTAGTATAGAGAGGGCAGCGATTATTCTGATTCTTTAGGGCTACCTACGTTCGGACTAGCCGTGACTACTATTTAATCCACGTCTATTCCCTTTTAGACCCTCTCGCTACTACCTTCTTACTCCTTATAACTACCTATCTAACATTATTAGTGGTTCTTTTATTACGGCTATAACCTTTTAGCGAGCGGCCGTCTTTTTTTTACCGGCAGCTATAGCTGCTATAGTAGCGGCCGTGGTAGCGGCGGCGTCCGCGATATTCTTATCGCCTTTTAACGTGATATTGGAAGACGGAGTAGCCGTAACGGTAGTAGCTATAGCCTCCTCTATATTAGGGTCCACGGCGAGGGCCTTATATTTACGGATATTAGGTGGCGTGGGCTTAAGAAGTAGGTAGATATCGGCCTTCTTATCGTTTAGCTTTAGATTAAGATAGTTTTCCTAGTAGGAGGTAGATTTACCGCGTATAGCGTGCTCCTATATTACCTAATCCCTTTAGTTAATAAGGGTAATAGCGGCCGCCTTTTATTCGGTATTAGATATATTAAAAGATATCTTTACTAGTTTATTATTTATCGGTTAATTAATTAATAGGTAGGTTAATTAATCTTTTAATTACTCTAATTAGGTTAGTCGTAGTTATTTAAGAGTGCTTATATAAATATAATTACTTCTTTATAGGAGAATAGGGGTAGCCTTATTAATATCTATCGTTTAGGCGTTATAAGCCGGGCTTCTAACTATCGCACGTTAAATAGCACTTAGATAATTAACTTAGTAGAGTAGAAATCTTATATATATATATTATATTAAGTTATATCTGTGTAAGTCTTTTATACCCTTAATTTAGGTGGTGAAGACTCTGTTATAGGTATTATATTATTTGGATTCTATCCGGTCTTTTCCGGTATCCGCCCCTGTTATATCCTGATGCCCGAGGCCCGAAGACCTTAGTCAGGGAGTGGATCCCCCCTGGATCCCCTATAGACCTGTCGCATTGGCACGAGCCTCGGGGGTGGGCACAGGCCTCGGGGTGGAAATGATAAGGGTGGACCCACGGTAAAATACCGGATAAGATCCAAATAGAGCGGTACTTCCGGAAGAGTACTGCCCCTTATAAAAATAGGGTAAATGGTCTCGCACACGTTATAACTTGATATAATACACACACGCGAAGATTTCCCCTAAGTCAGAAGAGTGTATTTGACGTGCGACAGTTATAAGCCCGGTTTATAACGCTTAAAGCCATTTAATATCTTCCACACCTTTAAGCTATTCCTTTTTACCCTATTCCACTATAAAAGCAACCACGTTATAAGCACTTAATCGACTATCGTTAATCTAATCAGGGTAACCTCTTCTTTAATTAACCTCTTCGCTTAAAGTAATAGAAGATATCCTCTAACGTTTACCGTGATTAATAAATCCTAACTACCTAAAAGAATTAGATTATATAGGAACGCAGTATCCGCGGGAAGTTCTCCTCCCTTTAGAACGGTTACCTTAATCCTTAACTGGATAACGACGAAGCAGAAGCCTCCCTACTACTTAAGTCTATACCACCTAACGTATATAAGTGCGAAGCCGCGAATAGCGTTAAGGTTCCTAAGTTAATAGACGACCTCTCTGACTAAGGAAGAATATAATACCTTTAAGATCGCCGCGTATATCGCGAAGAAAAGGCCGACTACGATAATCAGGAATAAGAACTTAACGCCCTAGGCTCCTATATCCTGGCTATAATCTACGCCCCTCTTAGCAACCTCCTCGGAGCGTTAGAAGCAGACTAAGCAAATAACGCGAGGGCGTGGATTACCACCCTTTACTAGTACGTAGCTCCCACGCCTATAGATTAACGCCGTAAGGCTCTACATTAATATCGTTAGCTCGTTAAAACGCCGTTGAAGACTATCCTTAGGGATATAGATAGGTGGATTACTAATTAGAAGGCTACCCTAATAGGATACTAATACGCTGGGGTTATCGAGATAGCCTTTATAGATTAGTAGGTAGAAGATACCCTCCACGTGATACGTCCTGTTACTCGGGAATAGTGTTATATCTACGTGGTGACGAATAGGCAGAGGATTAATAATAACGAGCTATTAATTAGGGACCTCGCGCAGGACTTTAAGGTGCTATTTAAGTCTATAAGGGATATCTAATCTATCACTTTAGTAAAGGAATCCTATCGGTACTATTATTACTATAGAGATACTATCGCTATTACTACGAATAACCGCTATTATTACGGGACCTCGTGGAGAGATCTCCTTATTATATCGGTACTACTATTACTGTAGAGATGCTATCGCTATTACTACGAACCACCGCTATTACTGCGGAACTATCGGTATTACTATTACTATAGAGATACCCTCGGTACCGCTATTATTACGGAGATATAACTATAAAGATACCCACTAAAGGCTATGCCCGCGGGAGATATAACTAACGGCTACGCCTATAGGGGGTGGATTTAAACGCGCTGTTATTATTATAGGAGGTCCTCTAGAGCGTCCTCGCGATAGGATTAAACGGGTGGCGATTAACCTAATCGGACTAATTAGAAGCCAGGAAAATAAAGATCGAATTAAACAATTAAAAGGATCGGTTTAAGAGCGTTTTTAAGAGCGCTTTCGATAGACTGTTTTTAAGATAGACTGTTTTCACGATAGAAAGGATTAAGAGCTGTTCAGTTTAAACCGAGGCCTCTAATTAGCTAGTCGGCCCGGAAAAGTGGATCCGCTCTAACTAGGGGGGTGTGTCGTATTAGCACGAGCCTCGGGGGTAGGCACAGGCCTCAGGGTGGAAATAACAAAGGTGGACCTATAGTAAAATACCGGATAGGATCCAAATAGAGCGGTACTTCCGGAAGAGTACTGCCCCTTATAAAAATAGGGCAAACGGTCTCGCACACGTTATAACTTGATATAATACACACACGCGAAGATTTCCCCTAAGTCAGAAGAGTGTATTTGACGTGCGACAAGACCACGTCGTGGTCCTGCCTATACGATACGGAGCCCTTAGAGATATTAATTATGAAGTACACTACTCCGTAATGTCAGGTACCCGTCGGGACAGGGTACCTTAGGCTTACCTTACCTTGGACAAGGTGCAGTACCTACTCCGTATTAGGAAGAACCGTCTTGGCTCCCCTGCGTCTATGCGTCTACGGAGTGCTCCTTCTCCTTTCCCATGTCCTCGATCCACTTTATCCAGGGATCGATCTCCTCCTCCGCATTTGTCCAATAGACACTCAGCATCCCCCCAATTCCCATCGACCAAGCGTCTCCCCCATCCCAAATTACCCCCCTTTCTCCTTTTTTAGAGCTCGCGCTTTGTGCTTCGTACCAAGCCATCGACTACCTACCTAATCGGCGACACCTTTGCTTTAAAGTTTTAAGGGGTTTCTTTACTCCCTAGCCTCACGATAATTCACTCTTTGTGGTTTTCCACGGCAACCTAGGGCAACACCTCTGTAGACGAACAGACGACTACGAAATACCGACATTGAACAACAACCTTTGTCATTTCTCGGCCTAACCAGCATGCATCCTTTGGCCGTAACAGCAACACGCATGCAATTCCGATCCCACAGAATCCAGCCGCCGCATCTTTCAGCCTGGTAATTTCCTTTCGTCGGATATTTTCTCGATCGGCGGCCACATCCAATTCCCCCCCCCCTTCCGGGGAATATCTCTTGTGTAGCCTCGCCTACCTCTACCTTACTATTCATTGCCTGATGTATGGGCATTACTACAACATCCCTGCCCGTGCCAAACTCGAGACACCAACTACCACCCCTCTGCGGCAGAGTGCGAATCAGGCCCAGTCTAACCCACACCTGGTACCTTGAAACTTTGGCTTTTGTGGACAGGCGGCTTTGCGGCTTTGCCCCTCGTCGAAGTTTCCCGGTCCAAGGGCCTTCACAAGGCCAGTACCCGGAAACTAGTGCTTCTAGACGTCTATCGCATCCTTTGCCCCTTTGAACTATTGCCCACAGAAGGCATTGTCCTGCTACAATGGGCCGCAAACCCGTTCCGCAGCCGTTGAAGCTGCCTAACTCTTCTTCCACTTCAGCTCAAGACCGACAGCCGCCGTCGAGCGAAACTGTTAGAGTCGTCCCTCCTCCTAGCTCGGCCTCACACTCCTCGCCGCGAACGCCCATGTCCCCTTTTAGCAGGTTCTCGCCGAAAAAGGCTCAATCCATCTCTACCCACGCCTCGCCATCACCCTTGGACACCGCCGAACAATCTTCGCGATCAAAGTCGCGATCCCTAGAAGACTACGACGACGACGACGACGACGACGACGACGACGAAGAAGAAGAAGAAGAAGAAGACACGCAGCAATACTCCCACATTACATCTGCATTGTACCAACCCTCGGAGACGCCAACTCGGCCGAACCACCAGCATAAGCCATCTCAGCCGCATCAACAGCAGCAGCCACAACAACAGCCCGGCACTGCTGGGCCCCAGGTGCACCACCGTGAGCCGAACAGGCCTTCCAAAAGCGGCTCCTTCTTTAACTTCACCAAGGGTAACGGTAAACCCGGCCACCATCATTCATCATCTAAAGGCGACCTCATGTCAAAGAACCCCGACTCGTCGGCCAACGCTTCTAGTAACAAAGCTAACAATAAGCTTGCAAAGAACTCAGGTTTGTTCATTCTTCTATTGCTCCCTGCTTTACGTTCCTTTTGATTTAATCCCATGTGCTGCGCCACTGCCTTTACAACTTGACAGGTGCGACTCTTTGACCAGCGTCATTATCCATTTTGTCACGTTTCTTTTGTTTCCTTCATTCATTCTGTAGCTCCCTGATGCTAACCGGATGTCCCTCGTCACACATATAGACAAAACTCAGGCGAATCATTCTCTACACCATCCCACCGAGTCTCTGCCCGACTCGTCATTAGCCTCCGCCAGTACACTTCAAGAACCTCCTTCCTCTTACCAATCCTCCTCGAAGAAGAGCAAACCAAAGCCATTTTCCCGCCTTCATCGCACCAAATCTGGTCGCGATAAAGATAACCCGAGCCCTCTCGATTCTCATACCACAGCCGTCCCTGTGCCAACTAGGGTCGCAGAACCCGAGAAGGCTCATCCCCTTACGAATCACAATACGGGACTGAGAACGGCGCCTGTGGGAACTGATCGCTCTTTCCGAGATATGATGAGCTCGGCAGCTCGCAACCGCTCGGAGGACCGGGCGCCTTCCAGAGACAAAGAAGGCAGGGACAAACCCGCGCCTACGTCGTCGCTCCGCGAAAACACGGGGTTCTTTCATGGCCTTCGCAATTCGTCGACCAAAGCAGCAGACATGATTAGCAAGGGCCTGTTTGGAAAGAGCATGCGCAGTGCTAGCAGCACAGAGCGCGAGCCCCTTGTCGACGACGAGCACTATGTCCCCAAGGTCATCAACCTTCCTCTGGTCGAGCAGACCCGCCTGACGCGCATCTCGAAACGGCTTGAGGACTCGAGAGACAAGACCGAGTTTTGGATGCCCGCCTTTCCGTGGCGCGCGATTGACTACCTGAATTACAAAGGCTGCGATGTTGAAGGTCTCTACAGAGTACCGGGGAGCGGTCCGCAGATCAAGAAGTGGCAACGACGTTTTGATGAAGGTATGATTATATTCCTTTCTCCATTCTCCTTGTTCACCCATTGGCATTAACCCTATTTTTTTCCTCTTAGAATACGATGTCAATCTCTTCGAGCAGGACGACCTGTATGATATCAACATTATTGGTTCTATGCTCAAGGCTTGGCTTCGCGAACTCCCCGACGAGCTCTTCCCCAAAGAGGCCCAAAATCGAGTAGCCAGGGAATGCGCTGGTGCGCAGAAGGTGCCCGAACTACTGGTCGAGGAGCTCTCGAACCTCCCCCCGTTCAACTACTACCTTCTCTTCGCCATTACTTGCCATCTGAGTCTCCTGCTTGCCCATTCGGACAAGAACAAGATGGATTTCCGCAACCTCTGCATTTGCTTCCAGCCGTGCATGAAGATTGATGCCTTCTGCTTCAGGTTTTTGGTGTGCGACTGGCGTGACTGCTGGCGAGGCTGCAAGTACGAGGCCAAGTATATCGAGGAAGAGTACCAGCTTTTCGATCTGCCTCCTCCCCAAAGCCTGTATGGATCCCATGCCTTGCTTTCCGAGCAGCAGACCCCTCAAGATGCTCTGACCAAGCAGGCCTCTCGAGGTCGCCCCGAGGCCCAGGAGTCAGGCGAGGATGCAGAGGAACGGCAGCAACCTGCCCTCGTAATCACCGACGAGCGGGCCGTTTCTTCTTCAGCCAGTAGCAAGCAATCAAACCTTGGCTCCAAGCAGACGGAGGAGACTCATGAACGGCCTAAGCCGCCAAAGTCGCGGTTCGGGAAGAAGCCGCTCCAGCTGCAGGATGCGAATGGTAGTGGAGGCTCCAACGCGACTGCTGACTCGACTGCGTCCGCGACCTTGACCCTCAGCGGTGATCAGTTCGAGACGCCAAAGCGCACCACGGAATTGCGGCCGCTGTCGCCTATAAAGCCATTGTCGCCGCTCGGTTTCTGACGCTCTATATTACATACCCTCCTGCGCACGATTATTTCTTTTTTTTTCCCCCTCAATACCCTAGGCAGCATTGCGTGTACTTGGGCCGGCCCTTTGTTTCTTCTTTTTTCTTCTTCTTTTTTCCTGACGACCTTACGCTGTTGACGACTTTTGCACCATTTGTTCACCCCTTTGCGAAACCGGTTTGCTTTTTTTCGTTATTTGCCGGAAAAAATCCCTCGGCGAAAGGCTGCATACCAGCTCTTCTTCGTCAGCCGTCAGCAGTCTCAGGATTTCCGCTATATCTTGCTTTTCTCGTCTTGGTTCAGTCTGGCGACGTGAGCCTCGAACGGATCCAACCATGGGATGCGTTCTCTAAGCTAAGCATTTTGTCCAGCTCTGCCCCCTCTTTCTCCTTCCAGAGAGGAGATTCACAGCGCCCGCATTGGACGACCAAGGAGCGGCAGCTGGAGTGGCAGGATAAACCACTCACCGCATCACTCTGCTGTCTTTTGGTTTTCTCGTTTGGCGTGGTTTATGAATCCAGCGACCTCGTTTCCTTTTCTTTTGATCTGCTCGTTTGGGATGGCATGCGTCGTGTCATCATGCACATCGGCCCGGCGAGAACGCGGAGACTGCAGTAAAGAGGATCTGACTAGATCTCTGTGGATGGAGGGAACTCGAGCCAAGGTTTGGTAAAATGGGGGCATGGGCTAGGCTAGGCGGTCTGATTTGTACGTGTAGGAATAGGCAGGTAGTTTGGAGTTACGAAGTATTGCGCATGAGGAAAATGGCAGGAGTAGATGGCATCATGGCGGATGAGAGCCAATGGAGGTCCTGTCTTTTGCAGACGTTGATAATACGGAAACAAAACAAAGAAAACAAGAAAAAAAAAGAGAGAGAGTGCACCCAAGACGACTGACAAGTTTACTGCACAAGTGGTGTGTGTGGTGGTGCCCTAAAAAAGGTTCTGACACAGCCGACTTTTCTGCCTTTGCCAACTCCCAAAACGCCGTCGATGTAGTAGCATATTCGAGTCGTCCACCCGCAAAAGCAGCTCCCAGAAGAAATGAGGGGCCACGTCGGGACAAGTAAAGCACAAGCCAGATGCAAGAAAGACAGACAGTCAGTCGTCGTCCCCGCCCCTTGCTCAGGCTTTCCTCCCCTTCTCCTCGTGGAGGACATTCTTGCGCATCCGGCGGTCGTTCCTCTTGACGCGCTCCTTGCGCTCCCGCCGGCCGTCCATGCGCACGGAGGTGCCCTCCTTGCGGCGGGCCTCGGCCTCCGGGTCGACCTCGACGAGCCAGTCGTCCTCGCCCTTCTTGTTAAGGCCCTTGAACCCCCACTTGGGCCGCCACTCGCCCGTCTCCTCGTCGTAGGCGAGGTTGCGGCGCTGCTCGCGCGTCTTGGGCTTGATGCCGCGCTTCTCGGCGAAGCGCTCCCACCGGGTGGGTTCCTTCGGTTTCGGGATCGGCTTCTCGCGGGGGATGGGCGTCGAGGTGGGGGGCAGGGTGAGGAGGACGCCTTCGGCGTTGGCGGTTATGGGGCAGGTTGTCATGAGCTGGTTGATGAGGGCTGGGAGGGAGCGGAAGAGAAAAGAATCGTAGTTAGTTTGGGTTTTTTTTTTCTTCTTCTTTTTGTCATTTGGAGGCGCGCAGGAGCTCAATTGGTTTCGGTAAGATTACCTTGTGCGCCATCTCTTGCTACTTCGGCTAGAGATTGTTCGGGTTTGGAGGCATCGATCGTCACAGGATTTGGGTCGGTTGTCATGAGAAGGCCAAGGTCTATTTGTTTTTGTCTTTGTTAGTGCTTCATTGGCTGATTGTCAAAGGGAATAAGGCTCACCGAAGTAGTAAGGAGTCGGCCTCTCTACTGTTACAGACAGCTTTGTTTTCGTGGATGAGGCTGCCATTTTGTCTAATTTGGCCTGGAAATATGGAGTTGTACGTTGTATGGACGGGGATATGCGAGAGCAGGAGCAGGAGCTTTTTCGAAATT